TCCCAAGTGTGTATTCAGGGCGGGAAAAAATGTTTAACAGCCTAAAGAAAACCCCACAGTTTGTTTGTTTTTCTTCCCCAGTTCAGATCATTCCTTGACTTCAGCGGTTTGTGCATTTCTGCAGCGGCTTTTTGGTTTTAAATCAAAGCCACGATAAGGGTCAAGGAACCCAGAGATCAGGTTCGGCTTTGCCCGTTGCACGAGAGACTGTCATTTCCTCATGCGTCGGGAATGGTTATTCAGGAGCATGAGCTCTCCTCCGCTTCCCTTGAGGAACGAGTCCGGACCTGTGGTGGTGTCTGGTGGGTGGCTGGAATGATGTCTGGAGCTGTTCGATTGGGTTTCGGTGACGATGAGGCCAAAATCTGCCAATCATCTAAAACTCCCCTCCACCCCCCCCCAGATCTGTTCGCAAAGATCTTACACTGATGTTAATAAAAATAGTCCCCATGCTGCCCTTTGCAATTGCACACAGAGTCGCGCCTGTGGCCTCGGGCATCTGATTACAGCTCAGACAGGAGTCCCAGGCACTGTGGTCTGCCGAGGGGAAGCTCGCTAGCGTCCCTACCGCGGTGTGACGGGGAGCGTCGCAGATGATCATTCGTGCCTCCCGCCATAAGACTTTGCAACCCAGACACGGCATGTCTGGGCAGGGGGGCAGCGCTGACCTGTACACCTCAAACCTGATTCCTCTGTAACAACTGGGGGCTCCGTTTTACTGGTGTTCTGCCTGCATCTGGTTTATGCAACCCTGCAGAAGAGATCTGCTTTCTAAAGCCGCAAAACCGTGTGAAGCAATATCCATCTCCACCACAAAATCAGATTGCAGCAGGGTGAAATCGACCCTGGCAGGTGAGATTAGGGGGCGGTGGGTTTGGGCCAGGTTCGGCTGGAGGGAGCACTTCCTGTTCCTGTGGTTGAACTGTGGCGGGGTTAGAGAGGGGGGGTCCGGGCCTGGTGCTCAGTGCTCATTATTCCACTCCACTTTGGGTGCCAACGAGCTCACGGGTTCAGTAGAGAGGCTTTACTGAGGCTCGTCTGGTCCCCTGAGGGTAAGGACGATCGAACACCGGCATATTCTTCCCCGGGGCGAATTCTGTTTTCTGCCTGGGGGCGCCGTTCATTGGGAGCGGCTGGTCAGTCGATTTGTCTCTTTTTGGTTTTCTCTGACCTATTTTTCTTGGGATACAAGAAAAAAAACCACATCGTGGGCAAAACTCTTGGAAGAGACATGAGCAGCAAGGCATCACTTGGAAAATGTCCTTGAAAATAAAGACAAAAACTCTCTACTAAGATCATTTCTCCCCTATATTCATCTGTCCTCCCCAGTATGACCTACCCCTGCTGGCCTGATGTCCTGTAAGCAGCAGATCTGTGCCTACAGGAGGTTTTTCAGCCCGCCGGCTGGGGTAGGAGTCCTGAGCTCTGAGCCTCCTGGTTTTCATCCCAGCTGAGCTTTTGAGCTAGTGAACGGTCACCGGAGCTGAAGGGATGGCAGGCTTTGCGCAAGCCTTTCGCAGGGCGTTCTGCTGGACAAGGTTGAAAGAGTCCATGAATTTAAACGGTAAAGCCCACCATCAGCGGAGCCGGTCGGTTAACTCATTCTCGTCTCCCATCTCGCCCCCCAACAAATCCCATAGGAGCTTTCTCTGCTCCTTTTTATTGGGAAATTCGGCCTTCACAAGCCACATGGGTGGCCCGTTTCTCGAGAGGGATTTTTCCTAGAGGTGGGCTGTTGGCTCTTGCCGGGAGAGGGGGGAGGGGGCGCGCGTCAGCCCTGAGTAAAGAGGCGCCCAGGCCTGCGTGTGTGAAAGTGCTTAAGGAAGCGCGGGGGTGAATAAGCTGTGAAAACCGGCGCCGGAGTCACGCCTCCACCAACACGGAGAAAGCCCAGGAAGCATACCTGGCGGCTTCTGTAATGCCGATTCCACCCGCTGCCGATTCCTCACGCGTGACGCCGGGCTGATCCTGCCAGATCCAGAATTCGGGGCAGGCGGGCTTCCCCGGGGGAAAAGGGGCTCGGCTACTGGGCTGGAGCTTCGCCAGAATCTGCCCGTGGCTTTTCAGGGAACGGAGCCTGCGGGTCCGGGTCTGCTCACAGCCGGCTGAGCAAACCCCCCACACTCTCCCACAATCCGTCTGTCTTTCCTCAACCGCAGTCGAGTTCGGAGCCGGGATATTCCGGCCCCTTCTCTCCCCTCGGAGGGGCTTGGTTTTGCAGAAGGAGCCCACCCAGTCCGAGGGAGGGGGGTGGCTGTGTATTCGATTACAAAGCTGCGGCTCCACTCCTAATGGTCTCCTGTTTTTTTCCGATTTGTCTTTTACAAATTTCCGACAAGCTTGTAAAAGAAGAGAGAGCACATAGAGGGATCCCCGCCAGAGAACCCTATGATTAATTTGACTAGTGGTAAAAAAAAAAACGCAGATCACCCAGCTGCAGAATACCAAGGTTTGGCTTCGGATGAGGAGTGTAGGTTGTACGTTTTTCACTTCCGCAGTTTTTGCAGACTTTGGGGCAGTATGTTAGCTTTGATTTTTTTTTTTTTGTGCAATGTTGAGTGTAGGTTTCCCATGTTGTTGTCAAAGCGTATCGACTCTGGCAGTGAAAATCGGTTAAAGAGGTGTGTTGTGGGAGATTCATTGCGTTTTGCATAAAGCGCAATCAGATATTATTTACGGTAGCACCTGCGTCCCTAATTGCTGGAAGTCTGCTCTCATGTCCTGCGGGACTGACTGCTGTTGCTCCAGTCTTGGCTTACTGGAATTGAGAGCAGGAAACTGACTTAGTGTCTATCCAAACTG